TGCGAGCACATGAGCCAATGGGAGTCCTCGCGTGCTGCTGAGGCCGGGAAAGGCTGCCCCAGTCAGTGCTACCCCACACCCCTGGGGGGACTGTACCAGCGGGGGTGGGGGGGTTAGGCTTCTGCAACACATTGACAGCACAGCAGGGAAAGTGGCACAGGATCAGGAGCGTGAGGCCTGGCCACGGCTCATTGGCGCCAGGCTCCCATGGTGGCACCACCTCAGTGAATCCCACCGTGACTTCTAAAGGTCTCTGCTGAGCTCCCCCTGCCCCCTTGAGACCGAGATCCTGCAGCGAAATGTAGAGAACGTTGCCTGCTGCCATGCGCTGTCACCTCTGATTCTGCTGAATATTTAAAACCGCTCTGAATCCAAAGTGACAAATCCATCATTGACCATCTGCCACTCTTCCTGGTCGGCCCGCAGCACTTCCTGGCATTTCCAGCGCGCCCTGACACGAGCCAGTAGCTCCGAGATGAAGGGAATCAGCATCAGCAACCTGACAGGGCGCTGCCGCCCCCGGCCTCCTTAGCATCGCTCTCCTACAAGGGCCAGCCCCATTCACAGAGATCTGGGAGGCGTCCGTCCCGGCTTGCCTGGCAACGACTCTCAGCTGCTCTCAGGGCGCCAGGTGCGGTGCACGGAGACGCTCTCTGCACAGGGAGAAGGGTGTTCCCAGGACAGGGCTCTCGCCCGTGTCCCAGCACAGGTGGGGCTCAGGGCCAAGTGTGAGGCCAGGGGGTCCCTCTGGGCTCCAGGGCAGTCTGGAGATGGGGATTCAGGCCGGACTCTATCCTGATAACCTGCCCCAGCTGCACAACGGGATGTTCAGGCCCAACTGCGCCATTGGAAGAGGGGGCGAGTGGGCAGGCCCCGCTCCGAGCGCTGAGGCTGAACACGGAGCAACAAGGAGGGGAAGGCCAGGTCTGGGCTATCTGCACCCCTCGTGGCTCAGAGACACCACAAGCAGCAAGGGGGTCTGGCCCCCAAAGTTGGTTGGGGACGCCTGGGCAGTGCGTGGAGCCCTGGTGACCCCCAGAGATTCTCGTTTGTCTGACAGAAAAGTGCTGCTGAGTTTGTGCTGCTCCGATCACAATGCAACTTCCATGGTGTCTCCAGCCGCCAGGCTCCCCTGAGCATTGGAGCCGCAGCCCCAGCTCTGCTGCCGCACCAACCCTCTGGGACATCGCTGTCACTTCGATTCACTTGCTTCCTAAATGGACTGGAAGGAGTGGTGCTCACTCACCCGGGAGGAGACGTCTGCTGCGCGCCCACTGGGTCCCAGCTTCTCTCCACCGTTAATTGGGTGGGACGGGGGCTCTTTCCCAGGGGATCTATCCCCATTCTCTGGGCCCATGGGACAGCCGCACTCTGCAGACCCACAGACCCCTCTGCTCCCTGGCTGTGTAGGGCGAGAGAGCAGGGAGGCTGCAGCAGATGAGGGGAGAAGGACTCGTCTTGCGCCAGCAAGTCCTGAGAATAGAATAAAAAATACAGCCCCACCCTCTCCCATCTGAAATCGCTGTGGGGGGCGGGGGCAGGAGCGCTGGCTGGTGGGGGGGGGGCTCCCAGCTACTCCAGCCCCAGCTTCTCCCAGCAGGGGGTGCTGTGGGGGGTGGGGCAGGAGTGCTGGCTGGTGGGGGGATTCCCGGCTGGTGGGGAGTCCTGGAGATTCAAAGACCACAGAGCCGCTGGTAAATCTGCGCTGTGAGGAGCTGCAGAACTGTACCTGGGGTGCTGAGCGGCTCCTGCATCGCCCCCGGCAGAGCTCTCCCTGGGAAAGGCCCAGGGTCCTAGTGTCCTGGCCCATGGCAATGAACACCTGGGCTGCCCCATGTGCTCATTTGCTGGGGGGCGCCTCTGTCTGCAGAGACCATCGCAGCCGTCCCCTTGCTCTCCAACAGTCAGCAGCTCTCCGGCGCTACATGGGAGCTGGCAGAATCCAGAGGCCACAGTCGCTCCTTGCTCTGTGTCCAGACTCGACACTGGTGGCAACGGGGCTGGCAGGCAGGTGGTGCTGCCAGGGGCTCTGTCCCTGTGCCCAGTGGGCTGGGGCCTCCCCTTTCTCGGCGGAGCAGGTCAGGAGGGGAGGGAGCCTGGCAGCACAGTCCCTCTATCGGTTCACACCTGAAGTTCGCACTACACGAGTATCTGGCACAGATCTGCAATTTCCAGTCAGCCTGCTGCTGGAGCTAATTGTGCTGTAATTGCTGAGTGTTCCCTCCTGTTCCACTGAGAACTGGGGGCCTTTCACTTGTTCTTTTGGCCAGAAGAGAAATCCCTCGTCTGAGTCGTCTGGACTCACAGCCCGGCAGCCGAACTGTCAGACGAGCAAACCGTTCCAAACGACTTTAGCCGACCACTCACCGCGCCAAGCACTGACCACAGCCCATCTGGCCCAGACTGGAGACAGCAACCAGAGCAGAGGCAGATGCAGCAAGCCCAGCCGGGAATGTGACAGATTATGTGACACCCTGCAGTGACTCTGGTGCATTTACGTCGGCTTCCATTTCACTAGAGAAAAATGTCCCCTGCCCCAGAATGGAAGGGGTTAGTGGATACTCAGGTTCTGCTGGGCGGGGCAGGCCCAGGCAGACAAGGGCTGGGCTCAGGTGCTCCTCTCCAGGTGGCTCAGTTGCCTCCTTGCTCCTCCTTTGCTCATCTCCTGATTAAAGAGAAACTTGCACAAATGGAGCCCAGAGCGGGGCACTTGGCCCCTGGTGAGCCTGGGGCATGAGCCTCCCGCCGGGAACATGACGCTGATCTGGAAGAGGCACTGGCGAGCACAAAGCGAAAGAAAGGACAATTCTCATTTTCATTCAAAGGAGAACATGCTAGAGAAGGGGACAGGGCTGGCTCCCAGACAACTCCCTGTCCCTCCAGCATGCTGACGCTGCAGGAGCACTATGAAACACTGCCAGCCCAAGTCGCTTTCCAGCTCCCGGGCCAGGCCTGTATTCCCACAGGACAGGATGTGAAGGGGCATTGGACACAAGGAGGAATCTGGCTTAAAGGGAACCCTGCTCTGTAGAGAGGCTGACGCACAGGCTACGCCCAGAGAGAACAGCCTGCGCTCACCCCTCTCCCTGCCCTTCTGGGTCTGAATGGTCAGAGATCCCTGCTCCAGGGGCAAGGACTGTCGAGCAGCCCCACCCCGCGCCGCACTGTGGTGGTCCCAGTGCATCTATCCCATGCTGCCCTGCACTTCTGATGGGAGCAGGTCTCATCTGCCCCAGCTCTGAGCATCCCAAATGCCTGGAGAATCCCAGCTGGCCACATGCGTGTCTGTGGCCAGGGGAGGAAAGGGGCTGGGCCAAGCCAGGCTGACACTAGCCACCTCTAGGCAAACCAATGCAGAGATAAATGGAACAGCATCAAAGCAGGGAGCTGTGTGAGCAAATGCCCATACGTAACCGCCCGCCTGTGCACATGCAGGGTTTGTAGGTGCAATTCGGATACCTGGTTCCTGGTTTCCTGTTTCTGAAAATGTAGTCAAGCCACTGAAGCAGGGACAAGCACCACTCCCGCACATGTGTACACACACAAACTCACTCACAGAGACACACATGCTGATACGCACACACACTGATGCACACTCACTCAGAGACACTGATGCACACACACACATATTGAGATACACACACATGAACATGGAGACACTGGCACTCTCCCACTCACAGCCTGGCGGGGGTGCCCAGGGCCCACCCAGGGCTTGGATCAATACACAGAAGGGCAGGCAGTCACAAACACAACTTCCTCAGAACTTAAGCCAAACGAATTCTAAAAGAGGGAGGCAGGGAAGGGTCCCCTCAGAACCTTTCTTCCTCCTCACTCCACTTCTGTGGCTGGCAGGGGGCATGTAATCAGCACTAATCAGTTAGTTAAATAATTGCTGAGCCCCCCTGCAGGGAAATTATGGCTAAAGTGCACCCAGAGCTGCAGTGTGACACAGACAGCAGGTGATTTAAAGACACTGTTTCCAAGAGTGAGACAGGGGATGAGACGTGGGGAGCTGCAGCTCACAGGAGAGAGATAATTAGATAGATAGATAGATAGATAGATAGATAGATAGATAGATAGATAGATAGAGGGTGGATGGGATAGATAGATAGATAGATAGATAGATAGATAGATAGATAGATAGATAGATAGATAGATAGATAGATAGATAGAGGGGGTGGATGGGGATAGATAGATAGATTAGATGATAGATAGAGGGGTGGATGGGATAGATAGATAGATAGATAGATAGATAGATAGATAGATAGATAGATAGATAGATAGATAGATAGATAGATAGAGGGGGTGGATGGGGATAGATAGATAGATTTTTAAATGGTCAAAATCAGAATGAAATGTTTTGACTCAGCTAAAATGAAATGCATCGATCGACCCAAAATATTTCCCCCAGCAATCAGGGAATTTCCCCTGAAGCAGAGAAAGCAGTTCCTGCACAGCTCCAGACGTGTGTGTAGGTGTGTGTGTGTGTGTGTGTGGGGGGGGGGGTTGCATCCTCACTGTCATGTCTATGGATTCTCCAGGAGAACAAGTCTGGGAGTGTCACTCCTCGGAGCTGCTCTGTGACACCGCTGGGGTCTAGCGCCATGTGTGGGCGGGCTGGCCAGCTGGCACGCTCTCTGGAGGGCTGGCTGTATCAGCAATTGATCTAGGGCACGGTGTATAAGGAGTTCCTAGCTCCCCGGCCCCACCCAGGCTGTCCCAGCAGGAGGCTCTAGAAAGCAGCCTTGAAGAAGCACCCCGATTTTCAGACACATAGATGGGCGCTGGCTCATTCCTGCACTCCCAAGTTCTCCCCAACAGACCGGAGTCCTGGTGAATCCCCTGCGTAATCATACTGACAGCTATCACCCTGGAAATAAATAGTTAAAGTGACTCTAGGGACATGCATAAATACTTCAGTTTTGTGTTGTACCCCATTGCTCTGCTCATCTGTAGCTGTAATGCACATCTAATAAGTACGTATTCATTGCACGGCTCACCCGAATACAGGAGTGCAGAGGTTTCGCTGAGTAAGCAGGAAAACAGCTTGGGCTGTAATAAAAAGGGAGGGGAGGGAGTTAAAAGAAAATATGCCAGGTAATTAATTATCAGGCTTTGAACAGCCATACTTTTGTATTAAACAAATATGCAAATATGGTTTAAATGGCTGTGTTAGTGTTTGGGTTATTTTGCTGCATGACAGTTAATCTGTAATAAGGCAATTACTTTTCTCCTCTGTGCACGTGTGCATGTTGTGAGCGAGTGGGTCTCTGTGTTTGTGAGTGCATGTGTGTGTGTGTGTGTGTGTGTGTGAGTGCCCGTGAGGGCACGTCTCTGTGAGTGCGAGTGCATATCTCTGTGAGTGTGAATGCGTGACAGTGTGAGTGTATGCACATCTCTGAGTGTGAGTGCATGTCACTGTGTGAGTGCGCGACTGAGTGCGAGTGCACATCCCTGAGTGTGAATCTGTGAGTGTGAGCACATCTGAGTGTGAGTGTGCATCTCTGAATGAGTGCATATCTGTGAGTGCTCTGTGGTTACGAGTGTGTGTGCACGAGTGCATGTGCATGCCCAGTACACTAGTCTCTCACCACTCTGCTGTGCTCAGTTGCTGTCTGTCCTGTCCACTGCTTTACTTGTACCGATTTGCTGCATGCGTCGTTTGCCCCGATCAATCCGGGCATCAGCGCAATGCTGGTTGGAGAGGCGGGGCTGGAAGAAGGCTGGACAGATGCTGCCAGTGCCCTGCCATGCAGCACCCTGCCTCTGAGGCTGGGCAGGGTGACAAGAGCATGTCACACCGATGCTCCATACTGGCTGCCTGTCCATATGTTGCCCTGTCCAGGGGTGCTGGGCCTTATATTCCCCCCCAACTCGGCAAGGGGCTGAGTGGCTCTCACTCTGTGCCCACCTCCCGGTGCCCAGCAGAGCCCCCATGGCTGCTAGAGCCCGTGAGGGTCACAGCTGTCGGATTTCCTCTGCCAGTCTCAGGGCGTGAGGCAGGATCCCTGTCCCCCGAAGAGGAAGGCAAACAACTCTGCTTAATTGCGGCTATTGATATTTGGACTGTGGTAGCACCCAGGACCCCAGCTATGGAGAAGGACCCGTCGTGCTAGGCACTGTACACTAGCGGATGTATAATGATAACACAAAAAGAAGAACAGGAGTACTTGTGGCACCTTAGAGACTAACAAATTTATTAGAGCATAAGCTTTCGTGGACTACAGCCCACTTCTTCAGATGCATATAGAATGGAACATATATTGAGGAGATATATATACACACATACAGAGAGCATAAACAGGTGGGAGTTGTCTTACCACCTCTGAGAGGCCAATTAATTAAGAGAAAAAAAACTTTTGAAGTGATAATCAAGCTAGCCCTGTACAGACAGTTTGACAATAAGTGTGAGAATACTTACAAGGGGAGATAGAGTCAATGTTTGTAATGGCTCAGCCATTCCCAGTCCTTATTCAAACCGGAGTTGATTGTGTCTAGTTTGCATATCAATTCTAGCTCAGCAGTTTCTCGTTGGAGTCTGTTTTTGAAGTTTTTCTGTTGTAATATAGCCACCCGCACAACAGAAAAACTTCAGAAACAGACTCCAACGAGAGACTGCTGAGCTAGAATTGATATGCAAACTAGACACAATCAACTCCGGTTTGAATAAGGACTGGGAATGGCTGAGCCATTACAAACATTGACTCTATCTCCCCTTGTAAGTATTCTCACACTTATTGTCAAACTGTCTGTACAGGGCTAGCTTGATTATCACTTCAAAAGTTTTTTTTCTCTTAATTAATTGGCCTCTCAGAGGTGGTAAGACAACTCCCACCTGTTTATGCTCTCTGTATGTGTGTATATATATCTCCTCAATATATGTTCCATTCTATATGCATCTGAAGAAGTGGGCTGTAGTCCACGAAAGCTTATGCTCTAATAAATTTGTTAGTCTCTAAGGTGCCACAAGTACTCCTGTTCTTCTTTTTGCGGATACAGACTAACACGGTTGTTACTCTGAAACCTGTCATAATGATAACACAGGAACCCAGCCATGCAGCAGGACCCGTCATGCCAGGTGCTGTACACTAGCGGATGTATAATGGTAACACAGGATCCCAGCCATGGAGCATGACCCGTCGTGCCAGGCGCTGTACACTGATGGGTGTATAAGGGTAACACAGGATCCCAGCGCGGATTAAGGTCCTAGCCTGGATTCCTGGCTATGCCACATCCCCCCTGTGAGCTTGGGCCAGGCACTGGATCTCTTTGGGCCTCATCTCCCCCCCGTACCCCAGGGCGAATGATCCACCCGCCTCTGCCCTGTCTGTTCGAACTGGCCGCCCTAGGTGCAGGGCCCCTCTTGCGCTGTGCAGCGCCTGGTGTGGCAGGGCTCCAGTCCCAGCTGCTGCCATGATACAAACGATAACGATGGATGGTGGTGGCTGTACCTGAGTGAGGGGAGGAGACTTTGCTTCCTCTGGATGGAGACGGTGCTGAGTCTGCGGTGAGGGGCGTCTCTGCAATGCTGAGAAGAAGGAGAATACAAGGTGAGGCTTTAGAACAGCACTTTCTGGGGGAGGGGGGGGGGGCTAGGCCAGCCTGAGTGGGGAGGGCCCTTCAGTGCTGGCTGAGCGGCCCCAGGCCCATCTCGGGGGTCACGGCCCTGGCTGCAGTTAACTGGGGCTCGCACTATGCCAGGACCAGTTTTCAAGCAAACGGAGTGAAACAAAAGCTACCGGCAGGGGCCACAGAAAAACACACAGAGATGCTGGCAGCAGAGAGATCATCTCCCCATTAGCTCTAATTAGCATGTGGTTGAAAGACAACAAGAGTTTAAATTAGGAAGACATCACAATGGGTCCCAACTGTGTTACCGCTGCGCTCATAGAACAGCCTGACAGCTGCAATTTAATACATGGCTAGGATCTGTCAAGGAGCGTGCCGGCATATGTGCGTGGTGCACGTGCACGTGTGTGTGTGGTGAGTGTGAGTGCCTCTATGCACAGTACAAGTGTGCGTGGTGCGTGTGCGAATTCTGGGGCGTAGCAGTGAACCAGCATGCATTCCCTGACCTGGCACAGGAGAGTCGGGCTCTCCAGACGCTGGGCAATGCCAGCCAGGGCCGGGTCTAGGGAGGGAGGCCTGGAGCAGTGCTATTACAGCCAGACACACGCTGGAGACCCCTCAGCACCGGGGCGGTGGGGAAGCAGTTGCCTATTGCCATGGGAGGAATGACGAGACTTGCACTCGGCTCTGGAGTGAGCCGGCGCCGGCCGGCCAGGTTTACCTTGAGGCGTCGCTGGGCCCAGCCGTGTGCTGTGACGAGCTGGGACGCGTGGGCTCCGAAATGACCAACCTGGGAACTGCAATGGGAATTGGCACAAGCAGTTCAGCATCTGAAGTCCCAAGCGCAGACTCTGGCCTGGGGTCTGTGCCCTAGGAATTACCCCCTCCTCCCCCCCGCCCCAGGTGCCTTCAGCACCCCCCGTAGCTCCCTGAGCGCGTGGCATGGTGCAGGTGCAGCCTTCCCTGCCATGCCGACTGGCAGCAGAGGAGCAAAATGGGGCGGGACAGGGGCCCGTCCACGCTGCTCAGAGCACGAGCAGTCAGGGCAGCTGGTTATGGGTTGTGTGTGTCACCAGCCAAGCGACAGCAGGCTGCTTGCAGGCTGCAGTGGGGCATTTTAACGCTGCCCTACAGCCAGGCCAAACCCTTGGCTCAATCTCCTCTACAGACTGTGACCGTGCCATGAGTTGGTATAAAAGGAGAGGGCCAGGAGGAGCTCAGCTGGGCTGGGTGGGCACAATGACCCGTCCAGTCGGCTTCTAGACACAGGCCTTGGTAGCAGTCTCCTGCCAGCAGCCTCCAAACACGACCCGTAGACCCACAAAAGGCCAGGTGCAGAAAGGGGCAAAGCGAGCCCCCCCCCCCCCGGCAGCAGCCACAGCCCCCACTTCCCTGCAGGGACAGGAGTAACAAACACCAAAAGGCCTCCCAGGGCACCGTGGGATCACTGCAGACTGAGCCCAGCAGGAGCGGCTTAGCCAGGCGACAGGCGCTGGCTGAGCTGACAAAGTGCCTCCAGCATCGGTATGAAATACGAATTGTGCGAGGAGTGGCGAGTTCCAGGGAGAGCCAGGCGTGGTCATGGACTCCCCAGGGGAGACTCCCCAGGTACCATCAGCCTCACAGTATACGTCTACACTGCACATGGGAGCAAGGCCCAGGCTTGAAAGCCTGAGCCCCAGCCCAAGTCAGGGCGTCGGAGCACTGTCTGCACCGTGACGCTCAGCACGCCAGCACGTGTGGGGGTCGGTCCATCTCACGGCTCCCCGGCGCTGTCCCCACTATCCTCAGGCCCAGGAGTGTCTACGCTGCTGTGACGAACTGGGCCTGTTCTCACTGTGGTCTGTGAATGCTGACAGGGGAGTGTGGCTGGGATAGTC